CTATACAATACAGGATCCTTTCCAAGTAAGTGCAGTCAATGTCTTATTGTATGGATGTCAACCATGTGTACATGTACATGCCATCATCAAGGAACCAAGAGGGCACCACATAGCGGGCCCTTATAAAGACAAGTGCAGCCACCATCCGCCATGTACATGTACCACGATGGGGACATCTGTGTGGGTCCCAAGCATTGAGAACCACAGTGTAATATGGGGCAGGGGTTGCAGTCACTATCCTTTCTACTCTGTGGAGGTGACCATACAGGTATGTAGGTTCTATTATTGAGAGCCAACTGCACAATATAGGTCCCTGCCCAAGTGCCTATTATCGGTCTTGTCCTATGGATGGACTTGACCCTTTGTATGTAGATATCTTTCCTGACTCCAGGTGATAAAGATTAACAAGCAGCTTGCTCCCAGCATAGATCCTGCATACAGATTGAGCCTTGCATTTTATCGCCTATTTCGCAGGCCAATATTCTCGTCCATCTTAGAAGTAAAATAGAACCTCTGATTATCTGGTACAAGGTGGTCCACTCACTCCAGAGCATATGCCCAAGGTGTGAACTCACTTTTGGTGTTTTGAAGCTCCAAATAGCATTCATCCTGATTAATAGATGTATAAATTAATACATGTATGACTTGATGTCAAGGACAGCAGGTGTGAATGGAAAATGGAGTGAACTATGACAGTCAGGTTCTTGGTTCTTCCGTGATTTTTCTGGACCCTAAAAGAGGGGAACATATCAGTCTTGAAACGAGTGCATTTTGCTGGTTTCATGTGCAGTGACATGGATATTTACAACATGTACTTTCAATTTTTGGATGAATCCATACTAGCCTTTTCTGTCTCCATACCCCTTTCTCTTGAAGGCTGTAGGCAAGTGACACGCCCCTTCAGAGGAAACCTAGTCTGTCAAATTGATGGCCAGGAACAGAATTGTACCATCTCCTGTTGGCAAGGCTACTCATTCAGCCGGGCCGTTCTACCCTCTTACCAATGTGGTGCATCTACCAACTACAAGTGGTCCCATGAGACAGAAGACAACCCAAGACTGGCCCTCCCGCAGTGTACAAGTAAGTAGGATATCAGTGCAGATTCAATGAACCTAGAATTTGACTTACCCTTTCAAACTTCTGGAGACAATTTTCAGAAATGGGTCATTTTATTCATTCATGTTAGGTCCCTGTTACACCTGACCTGTATAATTTGACATGGAAATATCACTGGAATTGATTCCAAGTTATTTCTATATGTTTAGCAGGTAATTTGCATTAATTCATCACTCTTGGAAATTAGAGAACGTGTTCTGAACTTACAAAATCATATGTCATATATGACAGGGAAACACAAAAATTGAATCCTTATTTTATAGAATGACCCAAATGTATAAAACTTGGCATAGACAGCCTTGTGGATTATACCAAGTTACTTTAATGAACCCTCTGCTCATGAAATTCTGGTGGCTTTAAAACTTTCACAGAGATAAAAGTAATTTCATAGAGGCAACGCACAGCAAACCATTTGTGCTTCAAGTTGAAGCTGTCAAAGTACTGCCTGTCTTTAGGTCAGGAGTTCTCTGTCATCTTTCAGTGTTCAGCGTTCAGGGCTTCATGGTAATTTTAAGTTCTTCTGCAGGTTTAAACTAAGATTATCTGCAGGTTTAAATACCATGTCAGTTTGGTTTGCATTGTCAAGGCTAGAGGCTTGAATCCTGTGTTTTCGGTACTTTCCCCGTTAGTTGCAGGTTGAATTTCTGCTTCATTCAATTTTGTATTCTGGAGGTTGAGGGTTCCAATCTTGCTTCAGTCAATTTTGCATTTTAGTGGTTGGAGGTTCGAGTCCTTTTTCACTCACTTTGGTATCCTGGAGATCGCAGGTTTAAATCCTGTTGAAATCAGTGTTTCATGTGCAACCCGACAATCAGTTTGAACTGTTGCTGGAATCATAGAGCATTGCCTCAGTTGCCTCTGTACACTTCATATCTCTTGCAGAGTACAAGCCACCAAATAAGATTGCCATGGTGATGAACCTGGCTTATAGCACTAATCTGACCTGCGATGGGTTTGACCCTGCTAGAGACAGCCTGGTTCATCAGACAGTCAGAGACAAAATCACCTTGAACGTAAAGACACTCAGCTGTGTGCAGGATAACTCATGTAGTGTGAAACGTGCCCAGGTAAGTTAACTGGAATGAGATTAATAAAGGGAATACACAGGTGTGATGAGCTGATTTCTCTCTTGTGATTAATGATCAAAGAGGGGGCGTGGCTACTGTGACTAGACAGTTCTGCCAAATGCATGTCCACTGAGACTGCCTTTAAACATGGCTTTGGCGGAGAAAAATAACTTTACCAATGGAAGCCATTTGTTAGCAGGTACAGCTACTTCCCATAGATGTGTGTGTTACACTCAGCCATAGCCAGTTGATCTGGACACAGCCTGAGCTGATGTATTAGAGAGCTGTGTGATACACTCAGCCATAGCCAGTTGATCTGGACACAGCCTGAGCTGATGTATTAGAGAGCTGTGTGATACACTCAGCCACAGCCAGTTGATCTGCACACAGCCTGAGCTGATGATTACAAAACCTTATTGAAGACCACTTGTGTACCTCACATGATCCCTTATCATACCTCAGGTCAGTGGCTGCAGCACCCAGAGTCCAGCAGACCAGACCCACAGACGCCGCCGCCGATCAGTTGAGCTGATCCAAATTACCATCAGACTGGAACGTGATATCCATGTCCCTGACCAACAGAACCTGACCAGTGAACAAGGTGAGAGAATGATGGCTGATCTCATCAGTTTAGCATAGTCAAACCCTGGCCATGGTCAAGACAAATTTGGCTTGATTGAGTAAATAATGACAACAGTATTGTCAATTATAAGGAACAGTCCTTAGGGAAGGTGGTGATGAGGAGACACAGCATCTAATGCTGTATCAAACTGTAGTAGCCATTCGTACTGAGAGATTTTTGGATTTTTAATCAATTATTAATGAGAGGTTTAAACCTACGTTTTCTCAGTTTATCCTGATTTAGTCCATAAGTGAAGACTGCATAGCAGTTCTTCAAATATTTCATATACAGAATCCATACTTATTCTGTTCCAAAATCTGTTTTGAACCCGGATGTACTGTGAGTAGCTTCCAATTTCTTACGGTGGAGCGGTAAATGAATTGACCCCCAAGGAATGGCTAGCAACTAACCACCATACTAGTCAATGCTTCATCTACACGACACTAAACCAAGGAGATATCATTTCTGCTGTGACATCACAAACATGAAGATAACAATAATAATAGCAAGTCATGACTCCTTAATGGTTGGAAGAGGTATTTAACATACGTGTACGTTCTGCATGCAAGCTATCAGCACAGTAATGGCTGAGTTTTTAAGATCACTTGCAGTTACCCTGGAGCATATAAACTGAGAAAAGTAGCGTCGTGTCTGAGGATGGAGTGGCCAGATTCTAGCTAAACACCCTTTCATGGTATTGGCAGAAAGGTCTAAGTAACCAATAACTGTCTGTTCTCTTTCTCTATCCAACCTATTAAGTGACCAACCAAAACAGCACTATTGAGGCAGTCAGTGAACTGCAAGATGCAGCTCTACAGTTGATCAACAAGTCCGCATCAGGCCAGTTTGCCCTAAATGTTGACCATCAGGTTTACGACGTTGACACTGAGAGGACCCAGGCCTATGGCATGCAAGTCTGTCCCCATGGCTCAGTGCGCATGAATGCACAGGATGCGCGATGTGGTAAGCACTGCTTGCTTCAATGTTGGGCTTTCTGGCCAATTTGATTTGGTTTTGACATTTCTTTTTAACCACTCACTGGTTAACAGAGTTATTCCACTATTAACTAACCACAGCATTATTTCCTGGCAACTTACTTTTTGAAACAACAAATTACCTCAGTGGTTTGTTCAATATATGTGTGAGATTTCTTTCTGTGCCATTGCTTATTGAAAACTCTGAGACAATGTGATGAAGTGATATTTGCTATGACACCTAGCTGTGGTCCATGGCTACTTTAGAGCTCCACACATGCTCAATACCTCCATGCATTAGATCAAGCCTTTGTTAGTGTACAGACTCAGTGACATTCGCTCCAGCATGGGAGCAAGTATATAGATGTCACCTGGCACATGAAATATCATCTAGTATGAGGCTATCTATTAACACATTGACTGTCGTACATAATTTCATAAAGCATTCCCATTTGCCAAGCGTTCTACCCAATGGGGTAGCTAGGATTTTTCTAGGGGGGGGACACAAGCATCTTATGGGGGGGGGCACCAGCTTTTATGGTGTGGTTTTTTTGGGGCAAGCTTTTGTTGGCCTTGTTCAAAATCCATTCATCCATTTTTTTAGGGGGGCATGCCCCCGGTTGTTCACATATGTGCATATTAAGAGGTACCTTTCATTTGTCTATATGTCCTCCACACTTCCAACAGGGTATTTGTTGGTTCTTCAGTGATGCCAGTGCATTCAATTTACATTACAACAGCCTTTCATTTCTTACGAATATATTCGCAGTGGCAGAATCCAGTATACCTGTTACTACGAGTATACTCATAGTCGGCAGTCAACGTGTTAACTGTGTATAATTGATGCTCAGCATTAAGAGGTTAAAAATTATCTATACTAATCTTGTGTCTTCTGCGCAGCAACGTTTGTGTTAACAAGCTTTCGCATGTGAAATGTTACCTTGAATGGATCCATGTTTGCACATTTCACAGAGATGTTGTAGGATTGATCAAAATTCCTGTAATAATAATCCCTATACCAATTCTGCATCTTCTCCGCTCAGTTCCCTGTGAGTCAGGCTGGTATGAAAACAAGGAGGCTTGTTATGCCTGCCCACCTGGCACGTACCAGTCACAAGAGGGCAGCATCTACTGCCAAGACTGTCCACGTGGGCATACCACCATTGGCCCTGGTGCTACAGAAGAAGAAGATTGCGAAGTCATCGCTTTGTAGTCCTGACAGGTTATGAATTTGTTTAGCCTCTCCCAATAGTTAGTGTATGTACATGTAGCTTTTGAACAGGAAATTGATCATATACGTTATTTGTATGAGCGATAATTGAAATGAAAACATAAAGTAGATGTAGCATTTCTTCCCCATGAAGGTAAAGCACAATTTAAAGGATTTTTTAGTGATTTTTCCACTGTCTATCAACTTATAAGAATCTTAGCTGTGAAACCAGTTTGAAGAATTTTTATGAGCTGAATGTTACTAGCTACATGTATGTTGAATTAACTTTTCAAATTTACACAGACTTTGAAATGTTAGATTTTTAAAGTATCCTAATCAAACTGACAAAGTGTACAACAGTAGAACTTCATGCCAGTTATTTACTGTACAAAAACGAGGAACCAGAGGCCATGGTTTATACCCGTAACTCAGAATTTCTTACCCAAAGGTGTATGGCGTCATTGAGACCAAGAAAGCCATCAGCTTTCTGTGTTCTTTTTTATGTGTTTGAAATAAGTATGCTGTCTGTATTTTACAGTTCTCCTTGATATTACATCGTTGCTACATATTCAAAGGCAGTTTCCCTTTTTTCCCATATTTTTCATTATCCCCCTCACTAATTGTCACTACACCAATGAGAATTGAATAAAAACAATTCAACTTTCCTGTAAGTTCTGTAGTAAACTGTTCTGAACAGGTTATGGAAATGAAAGCCTATCGCTGAATGGAATACTAGAGCTCAAAATCAGATATATGTATGTCATTAAGAAATTGTTAGACTTAGCACAACACTGCTTTAAAGTACATTTAGTTTGCGGCAGTATCAAGATTTGAGCACTCAATTAATGAAAGAATGCCTCGTAAGTTGGTGTTGTATTAAAGATGATTGGCTTTATAATGCATGGAATGAAAATGGGTATACAAGTATGATAGAACAAGCTATAAACTAGTACATTTACAACTGTCTAGAGACATGGCACTAATTACCATCAGCTAGGTTCATTATCTGAACCAGGACCCAGGTTTGTTTAAACATTATTACAGTTTTGGTGACGCAAACATTTTGCTAACCTGAAGCATTACAGTAAACCTAGATATGGAGATTTCTGTTGTTGCACCACTATTTTAAGCAGTCTGCCTTTGAAGTTGACCCTGTTAGCAGAAAGTCCAGTGATTGACCCAGGGTAATTTCATCTTTGATGTGTGTCAATCTAGTCCTCAACTTGAGTATTGACAGTAATGTTTAAAGACTGTTTAAAATCCAAAACAAATGAGAATTGGTCAGAATTTGCTGTGCTTCTATATCAACTAATCATCTTTTCTCGATAGGAAATCAACATGCATGCACTTTGAAGAAATTATTTTGTATAATTAAATGTAAGAACATTTACTCAGGTAATATTATACCATGAATAAATTCCTTTGTTTTTATGCTGTTTGTAATAAAATGCATGAATTGCTAGCAGTAATGGTGTGCTTCATTTCATTTGGATTGTAATAGAGATAATGGCTGTATCATGGGCAGACAGTGGCTTAACCATGGCTAAATGTCCAGGGGGAGGGGGCACCCGGGGGGTGCACACATTTTTTCGAGGAGGAATCACAAGATGATAAGCTACAGCTGTATACGTTTGCAGGTATATAAACTCAATCGAGATTATTCACAGATTTCAAAATAATGAGGGACACAGGGAGGCTGGGTGGGGAGGGACAGGCGTCCGCTGTGGGAGCACGTCCTGTGCCCCTTCCAAGTAGTTATACCACTGGGGGCAGAGGGTTATCCAGGGATTGGGCCAATTGGGCTATGTACCCCCTCCCCCAAAGTTCCTTTTTTAAGAATAGTAAAAGCATGCTTGGTCTCTCTATTTTTCCAGACAAGCCTTAAACGGTTTCATTAAAAATATCCTAGTTTTTGGTCCTATTTAATACAATTTTTGCTGTCCCTCCCCACAATTTGATCCTCTGTGGAACTGCTGGATGAAGGGTAGGTTGTGAAAGGGGCATAATGCTGGGCATTATTTGAAAATAAACTTAGCAAACGTGACAGAAAAAAAAGGATAAGGGAATAAGACGTGAGGGGTGAGTACCATTAACAGATACGAATTGCTGACGATTTGAAAGGTAAATCCTGAACCACACAAAGGCAGTTCCGCTCATGCCATAATAAGCAAGTTTGTTTAGAAGTATATTATGACTGAGTGTATCAAAAGTCCAGGAATAAACCAATTGTAACAGAGGATGCATCTAAATTATTAGTTATTTTGTCAATTAAGTGAATAATAGCATGTGAAGTTGAATGGTTTTCACAGAATCCAAATTGATTACCAGAAATTATGTCGTGTTCACCTAAAAAGTCCATTATGCCATTGTGAATAAGTCGTTCAAGAATGATCTCTGTGCCCAAAGTGAAAAAGACTTTCTGAGGGCAGATTATCACTTTGTTCCCTTTTAACTAAGTAATGGAGGGAGGAAAACACTAAACTTTTCGTTCAAAAAGTTCCTTCCGTCCCAGGTTTCCAATAACCAATCAGAAGGCTCCAAGCGAGTCTGCTACATAGGGAGCCTTCTGATTGGTTCCTTGAAAATTCTAAAAGAAAAAAAATGGCTGAATGTTCGCACGTGGGGGCCGGTCTTCTAAAGGTGGGTGTTGTTTTCTTCGTTTTTAATCAGATAATAGTAAGATTTTACCCAAATTTGTAGCACCAAGTGGTTTATGATTATGCTTAGGTGTTCCATGGACGGTTTGGGGAGGGGGTCAAACTTTGGTAGTAGAAAAAATCCAAGTCAAGTGTGCTGACTTAATCGCTGTGTCGAGTGTCGTACGCGCCTCTTGACTAGCTTACTGGGCGTCGTGTGTGTAGGCCTATTTGTATTTGGTCTCTGCAGTGCAACGTGCACAGTGAGGCCTACTTCAAGCCTACCTCAAGAACTGGGGGTAGCCTACTTCTAGCCCAGGTTGGACGTCGTCTACATTGCATTGCGACTAGCATCCAGGGTATAAAAGACCTCCTACGGTGCGAAAATTCATCGGTTTTTTCCTCACATTTTACTTGGTGAAAGTAGCTCAAAATGTCGTTCATAAGTGCCTTGTAATTTGTATCCCGAATTTCGGACAACATAATTTTGCAGGAAATTTTACAAAACTCCTTGCTCTCCGTACCCGTCATGATCCGTTCACGATCTACATGTACAGTAAGCCTACATGTATGTTCGTCTAACACGCGTACTCGCACAGAATGCGCGAAATGGACAGTAACCTACTGCCCCTTAGGCCTTACGCATGTGTGCAAGTGCTGTGGACATGAAGTCGCAGATAGGCCTAATGCCTTGTCCAAACGGGCTTCCAAAGATACGGCTAGGTCTACTGTCTACGCGTCTCCACTTATTTCCAATGGAGCAAAGACCTAGACCTAGCTCTATACAACATAGGCCTAACTGATAGAATGTGGCTGCGACCTTGGAGGCCATTTCACGCATGCACAAATGCGTATAACCAAATGAACGTAGGTTGTAATTGGTAGGCCCTAATTGTAACACAGCATTTATGGAGTTCAGGATACAAAGCAGTTGCAAACGACATTTTGAGCTGTCTTTGCCTGATGAAAATGTGAGGAAGAAGAAAAAAGGTTGAAAAAAAATTTAGTTGTAGTGTAATGAAGACAACGTCCAACCTGGGCTAGGCCTATTTCGTACTTGGTAGACCTGTAAACATGTTTGGACTCTGCATTTATGTCTTCATCGAGAAGCATGGTGCTCTAGACCATATTGACTTTTGTTTCCTGGAATATGATAAAGTCTAAAACATGGTAAAGTTGTCATTTATTGTTAGGCCCACAAAAAAATGACCGGGGCATTAACGTTAACAGAACTTGGGAAGAATTCCATAATTTGGATGCCAGTAGGGCCTATAAGATTAATTATATTCCTGTATGGGCAAATTGTTCTCTATAGTGACCTATTACCATTTGTCGTCAAAAAGCAAAAACATGTCCAAAAATGGGGGATTGTATACATGTACTTGGGGACCCCTACTTACTGCTGGAAGTAGTGACCCCCCCCAGTTTTTTATTATTTTAATCTTGCATAACTGGTAAGGCCCACCCCCCCATACCAAGGCAACACACTCTTTATTAACTCATATCTCAAAACCTTGTCCCTTTTTGACATAATCAGTTATTGTCAGAGTCATCTACCAAAGTCAATTCAAAAGTTAAAATGTAACTCTCCATTCTATTGTAGAAACAGGGTCCCCAAATTTACAATCCCCAGAAATGATCAATATAAGAAGGAAAACACCAAGTCGTTTACCTAGAAACACTTACAATTGTTCAGACCAGAGAGTCAAGCAGCGTCTGTATGGAATTCTTTCCCAGAACTTTTATTTTTAGCCAGCAAAAGTTATCTAAACAGTACGTACATGTACCTACCTACATGAACATGTACAAGTAGACAGTGCATGAGTAAGCCAATAAAGGTTATTAATAAATTACCTCCAGATTCGTGTAGGATAGCGTGCAAATCATGAGATCATATAACACACTCCCATGTACAAAATATCATTCAGTGTAAATTTTCCGGCAATGGGTAAATATACCTTTTTTCCAAGTTTGGAGTCTCTCCAACAGACCAAGTTAATAAATACATTGAAGACCAAGTCCTTCATAATTCAAATAAAAAATTATTTACAATGCCCCAGTTAGTGAATCTGCAGTGTACATGTAAGTTATTGTAAAAAGAAAACGAGGCAATGTCATTCCTGAGGCAGAAAATATTATCAGTTTGGTTGAAAATGCTTTCCAAACATTGTGGACTATAAGGATGCTACATTCTCTCCATTCTTAATAGTTTTGCAGTAGAGTAAAGAGCTGTGTTGCCAGCCCTCATTCCACAATATACATTTTAGTCAGCCTGCTGAAGTACTTGTACATATGTGTAATTTGATGATCAGAGCTCTGCCTTACTCTCTGTGGCCCTCATTTGTCCTGTAACAATATTTTACTTTTAGGTATGATTTAGCCAGTGCTGGTTGGTGAGGTATCAACTTAACATTGGGACTTTTGTTTTTCTTGTAGAAATGGGACCCCACACTAATGCCCATGGGCAGTGCATTGAAATGTCTCTGAGCAAACCATCAGCAAGGTGAGTGATTGAGTGTAAATGAATGTTTGATCAAATCAATATGGGTTTCTTTTTAGTGCAGTGCCTATGGGTAGTTCCATGGAGAAGTGGACAAAGTTGAAAATAGAAATTTCAATAAATCTTCAAAATCACAAGCGTCACAATAACACATGGAATCGTAAATTTTAATGGAATAAGAGGTTTCCTTCTTTTCTTTTCTTTTTAAATCATCAGAGATGCCACTTTTCCAATTTTAATCGGAATTCCGACTTTTTGGTATTTTTCCCCCAAATCCAATTTTTTCACATTTCCTCCATCAATGTTTTTAACATTAACAGAATTAAATAAAGAAGAAAAGACTGGAAGCAAATCTATGATGCTCATGTATCCTGCGCCGCGCGACTGGGAACTTAATCTTGAGCGCAGTCGTCAGTATAGAGTATATATGTATTTATATTTCGCGCCACAATATGTCAGTCATATTGTGGCGTGAAATATGAAGGACAGCATTGAGTGGTGTTGTCAGTGATTGGAAATACGTTGAAATATTGACCTTTAAAGCGTACTAGCTCGATGCTTGCTCATGCCTCATGTGCGATGCATGAACGTACACAACGAACGTACATTGTACTGTACGGGAGATGATCAACACATGGATCGACTACATGTTCGAGGGCCAACAAACTGCAGCATCTAATTGTCAACAGAAACAAGGAACTTCATGATATTGAAAGAGATGTCAAGGATAAATTTCAGTGGAGATGGCTCGAAGAAAAAGATAACAATCAGAGCGTGAAATTACAGTCGGACATTGGACATTTTCCGACTCCGAGCACTTGTTATGTTTGTCCGAACAAAATAAAAAATGCTCAGACAAATTGTCCGACCAACATATCAATAACAGCTCTTAAAATATCAACACAATTCATGTATTTGGGATTATGGCGTCCGATTTATTATTAGTTTTGTGTTAGAATTACGCCCAAGACATCAATCAGGGCTGATCGCTCATCACCAGCCAATGTCACTTAGCGCCACGCACAGACATGAAATCACCCTTATAATTCTTTGCGCGCTGTCCCAGTTGTGAAAACACGTGCACGAAACTCTATTCATTAAACATAGCTGCTCTGGTTCCCTCCGCCCCGCACCCATGAAAAAGAATGCGTCATGCAAATGTAACAATCAGTACCAGTCTGTGCTGTATGTGTACTGAATGTATTGTACATAACCACTCTTCATCAGCCGTACACAGCAGGCCGGAAAGACATTGATTGCTATGTTGCAAGAAGTTTTCTGCAAGTCAATTCACAGAACTTGGTCTCTTATTTATGTATGTATTTTCTGTGTTCATGAGAAATTTGAGGTTGTTCTGCTCATTTTAGCGCCACCTGGTCTAGATGCATCATGCATGCTTACCACGTGATACACGGACATTGTTGGCCACTTTGCCGTTGTGATTGCCTGAATTGTTCATAATTTTCTTGTGAATTGCGGTATGCAGAAATTATTATATATATTAAGACAGGTGTTCTTTACTTTTTGAGATACTTTTGGAAGCTTTCCTCCCTACTGATGCCATTCAATCAGCACAAAATTGCCCCCAAACAAAAAAAATTTTCCAACTTACTGATCCAATTTTGGAGAGGCATGCACAGCACAACAACATTACATGTATTTTTTGGCCTAATAAAAGACTGCATGATGTATGCAGTAAGCATTAGTTAAATAAAGTGTTGATCCAATGCGATCAAGCAAATTTATGAAATATGGCCTGCCCTGATCAGGCAAAAAAAAATTTTTATTAAAGTATGTATCTTTTTGAGTAAAAAACTGCAGGCTGGCCTAGGCTGCAACTCATTTCTGTGATCGACCAGCGATGATCAAGAAAGAACTTTTTTGTTTTTATAGGCAACTACTTTACACGATGACCCATGCATTAATACGTATAAAACCGACACCGTGTGAAGCGCTGTGGATATCTTGATTTTCAGATTTTTGTGGCACAGGCTAGTGGCATCTCTGAATCATAGATCTTTGCAAGTACCCCATTTCCGCACCATGTTTAAACATGCAAAGTTAAACTGTTGTACAAGGAACTTTTTGGCACAAAGTCAAACAGAATGCAATGCAGTTCATTTTCTCTGCCTGAAGGGATTTTACCGTCTCTTCTGTGTAAATTGTGCCAATTGGATCAGTGCAAAAACTGCTTTAACTCCAACAGGTGAAGGATTGAGGAGGGTTAGGGTTAACCCTAACCCTCCTCAATCCTTCACCTGTTGGAGGACTGAGGAGGGTTAGGGTTAATATTACTCTCTAGGATCGTAGGGAAGTGGCTTTAAACTGATCAGACCAGCATGCTGCATAGTCTTGCCCATGTTACAAATAGTCATGTACCTGCATACCAATATCATACGATACATGTACATGAAACCGCACTTTTAATTTGTGATAGATGTAGATGCCACATATTGTACAAATGTATGACCTGCCATTTTTCAGTCTATGGCTAGCCCATTGAGAATTTTAAACTGACCGAAAATATAATTTCATTGCATTTAGTAAAGCTAGAATTGGACTTGCTTCCGTCCCACTTTTGAAGTGTTTCATTGTAGCTCTACATCTCAATCTGAACACAGTAAACGACTGGTTTTGCATATTGTACATAAAAATCATGAAGAGGCTACTCCAAGAAGTTGTTTTAAGGATTTACATGCTGAGGAGGGTTGTTAGGTAAGGGGCAAAAAATTGGCCCATGGCATGTATGGTATATGCCCAGTGGCGTAGCTGGGATTTTANNNNCACCAGCTTTCAGTGGTGTGTTTTTTGGGGCAAATTTTTGTTAGCCTCGTTCAATTTTAAAACTCTGTGTCTTGACTATATTCATAAAATGTTTTCAAACCTCTTTTTGAAAAGAAATTTCAAATTCACTTTGTGAAAGACTGGTAATATTTTTCCTTCATAATACGTGCTATCAAACCTTTTCAAATTTCATAGTAATGAAATCTAGTCCGAAATTGGAAAAGGATGGCATCAGGAAATTGGGCACTGATTCAGCCTATAACTTAGACTGGATGCACCGGTCACCTTCAAGCTCTAGGGCTGTGCAGAAAAACCAAATATTTGATCGATTATTGAATATTTGAATGCAAAATTCATGAAAAGGAAGGGAGAATTTTCTTTTGTTTTAAAATGAGAAAATTGCACTATGGAGGCTTGTTCCAAGTAGATTTAAATGAAAAGCGACAAAAACCTTGCAACGACTTAAAAAGTACATTATGTATTTATTAAAAAGTTTAAAAGGAATATACATTTTCATTGTTCTTCCTCAAATCTTGCTAAATCGTGGCTGGAGATATATCTAGATGTGAAAAGCTGTTTTAGTGATTACAATGTACAATTGTGTGCATTATTGCATTTGATTTTGTATATGGTTTGTTCCTCAACAATCTGCCGGTCAGTCATGTCAGTAGGGCTGGATAGGGCTGAGTTAATTCGAATAATTCACTATTCGAATATTCGACCTTCAATTCGATTGAATATCTGAATATTCGGTTGAATAATTCAGATATTCAATCGAATTGAAGGTCGAATATTCGAATAGTGAATTATTCGAATTAACTCAGCCCTATCCAGCTCCCCGAGGCAGTGAATATTTTGTCCTCCAAATAATAAAAAAAAAAGCAAAAGAAATGTACAGGAAGAAAGATTTACTTTTGCAGCTTGAATTGAACAAAATTTGGTGAATATTTTTCTTGTTTCAAATGCACACTTTGCAATGTTTGTGGGTTGGTGTAGTTCATATCAGACGTGATATTCAGTGCATTGGGTTCAGCACTGTAGATTGCTCTGAGTTCGACAAGAAAACCTGAACTTCAACATAAGAACCATAAATTTTAAAAAAATGACAGATTTTTGTGTCGTTTATTCTAGAAACTAATTTTTTTCATGAACAAGCCGGCATGCAGTGCATGAATTTGTTTTCTTTCATCCTATAACTACATGTACATGTATGTACTGTATCCGGTATATGTGTGCACGGAGCACACACATGGGCTATTCCCAGGGTTACGCTGACGCTGCTTTGTTGAATGGTTTTGATGAGGTGTGAGAGAGATATTTAAACGATGGAATACTGTGATCAGAATGATATAATAATAATAATAATTTCTTTTAAAGCGCCTTCCATAGAAACCTATCTCAGGGCGCTTTACATTGGAATGAAAAATCAAAAATATTAAACAACAAGGACTTAATTACAGAATCTTGAGACTATACACAGTTACCAATAGTTTAAAAGCAACTATTATTTACCAGACTAAAAATATTACAACAGTTAAAAGACCACCAGAACAACGATGGCCCAAGATTGTCACACAGTTGCTAGTGTCATAGCAACTGAGGAGTTTCAGGGAGAATGAACTGCTAAAGCATTTATTTGGATTTTTTTCTTCTTTTTTCTCTTTTCAGAATACTGTATGTGGGATCAATAATTTCAATTATCTATCGCTGGGGGAAAAGAACAAAAATAAAAGTCTGAGTTTCCATACTTTGTTTTTTTTCTTTGTGCACTTTCAAGAATTTACGTCACCGAAATCCATAAAACAACCAATTAAATTGGAGTGACCTGTACGTACAGGTTTCAGTGGAGCTGTCATGAATACATGTACATGTATGTAGATATCTATAGATGTACATACACAGCTCAGTGAGAAATATTAAGCACTTTGATGTTTTCAATAAAGTATGTTTTTCTTTTGTTTTGTCTTTGCTGCAGCCATCCATTTTCTAGAAAGGAGGCCACATTTCCACGGCAAACCATTGAGACAGGAAACCCATGTGGATGCAATGCTCAAGACTTGAAGGAGCAGTAATTCAGATCCAAGGAAGACGGTTGTGATAAACACACCAATAACAAACAATACAAATTGGATTTCAGCTGTGGTGCCACAATAGGCTTGTCTCCATAAATCAACATCAGCATGAGATGGCAGCTCTGTCCTTGGTGGTAGCTTTGCTTAATCTGACACTCCACTACTATGGCATGAGAATCATACTCTCTTCAGTGGAACCTTTAAA